TTAGTCAGCTTTTTGCTGGGGCAGTAAAAGATCCCAAAATAGCTTAAAATAATAAGCAATTATTTCTCACTCATGAGTATTAGACAATGGCCCCGCTAAGCCTACCTGGGTTCCTGGTATCAGCTAGACTTGAATTCAGATCTGCACTGTATATCTCATGCTAGAACCCAAATTGGAGAAGTAGCAGCTAGCTGAACATGCTGTTCTCCTAGAGGATGGTGAGAGTGCAAGAGGATGATGGGCTTCTAGAAAAAGACCATCTGTCACTTCTACCCATACAAGTCACATGCATAAGCCAAGTAAGCAGGGAAGGGAAAAGTGTCAGGGAAAGAAGAGTGGATATTTGCTGAATAATATCCCAATCTTCTTTAATCCCGTAACACTCCAGTCAAACTAGGAAACAATGATATGCCTGATAGCATGTGAAATTTCATAAGAGCTAGCGTGTATGGTGAGTTTTGCATTAAGGTCTGCATAGAAATGAAATAGTAAGCCAAAGAGAATAAGGAAAGAAACAAAAGAAAAACTGGGTTACAGCTTTGTTTCTTCAACCCAAGGAAAAAGAATAAACTAACATTTTGATAAACAACAGTCTTTATCAGGTACTGTGCTAAATAATTTCATTCTCAGTTACTCTCACATGATTGCCAGATGCAGAAACAAGGACAGAATGGTTAAGATGATGATTCTCACCCAAGGCCCTATAGTTTGTGCTCCTGAAGGTAATTCAGGAAAGTAACATTAAGGAAAGTTGACTAACTGAAGAGCAGAGGGGATAAGTGAAATCAGTGAGTATAAAAAGTGACTCTTGAACAAGAGAAAGCTAGAAAAACACAAAAAGATGGCAACCCCATCAAATTTGGGAAGGATTTGTTCACATGGAAATGAGTTAAAATAAGTTGTTTCAGTAATCCAAGCAAAGGCATGATCCCCAGTTTGCTGGAAAACAGCACTGCAGCACCAGCCCCCCAGGGAATGACTGGTGCTGGCAGAGCCTGTGGTTTTAAACCAGAGGACCACATTGAGCAGTCTATGATGATTCTCAGGGCCACCACTGTCCCATAGAAGTGCCTTTGAAAATTAGAAAGATGTGCACACACACACATACGGCACTTATGTGTGTATAATATTTAATTCATCTGTTCACAGGAAAGATGGTGTAGTATATTGGTTAATGAGACAAATGCTGGAGTCAGACTGGGTAAGTTCAAATCCAGAGTACATGGGTTTATTCTGGCTGCTCTTAGTTTTCTAGCTCAGTAACCTCAAATTAGTCATCAAACCATGTTGTTCTTCAATATCCTCATCATAAAATGGGGATATGAATAATACTTATTTCAGTGAGACTATGTAAAGATTACATAAATTAATATATGTAAAGTGCTTAAACAGTACCTGTCCAGTGTAGTTTATCACTGCATGTTCAGCAAAATGAATACTTAGGATACACTAGACATTTTACAAGAGGTAGCATTTAGCTATGAAGAAAATGTTCAAGCTCTCATGGAGCTTGCATTCCAAATGCAAGGAGCAAAGGGATAGATAATAGAGCACACTAAGTGATGAGAACGGTGGAGGAGCTGGAGAAGGCACAGCTTAAAGGAGAATCCTCTCAGGAATAGTTCTGAAGCCAGATCATGCTGGATGTGTTTTATTTATTTCTTTAAAGATTTATTTTATGTATTTATGCATAAAGAGCTGGGGTGTAGGCCAGAGGTGTGGGGTGGGGGGAGGTGAGAGGATTCACCAGAGATAGAGTGGGGAGCAGAACAGGTGGATTGGCTGAAATACACTGCTGAGGGGAGCAGCGGGCAAGACAGGCGAGGTCTGCTGCGCCATGTGGGTAGCTCCCTGGCCTGGGATCCAACTCATGCTGCAGTGGCTGCAAATAGCGTCATAGTGCTGAGATTTAACCCCTTGTACTACCAGAGAGGCCCTGGATGTGTTTTAGGAGCAGCAAAGAGCACAGCGAAAACTGCATACTATCTACTGTGTTTTAGAAAAGAAAAGACAAAATCATAAACTCCCTTTGAGGGAAAAAAAAAAAAAAAAAAAAAAAACCTACGTACACTTTAAAGGACTATAGAAAGAAACATGCCAAATATTTAACAAATGGTCTGTTTGGGTGATGAGACTATGGGTAATGCATTGTCTTTTCTCTTTTCCATAATACCCAAATTTTCTGAATATGTATTACTGTAGTATTTCTAAAAACTCAAAAAGGCATCCCCAACAAATATACTTATAAACAAAAGACAATTTCCATTTACACAAAGTTATTGATAATTTTTCCTCTATTTTTTAGTTGAAATGTTATTACCTTTACATTATTTAGATGTTTTAATACATGCTTACAGTATGTTGCAAAGGGTTTTCACACTAGCATCCCATTCGGTGTTTGACTGAAAAGTTTTTCTTTGTCTACATACCAAACATAAATTGTATTATTCAACTGATGGCTAAAGAAATAGATGTTTTCCTTTTGAAATTTCTTCTAAGGTGAAAAGCTGTTCTCCATTAACAAACTTTTCTTCAATACAGTAGTCAGCAAAAATGGTGTAATATTTCGTTTAACTGCTCTTTCAAAACAGACTTTTCTAATTCAAGGCAGCAGTAAAGGATTTGTAGAAATGAGGTTACACATCTAGAAAACAAGTGATATTTGTGATTTCTTCATTTACCTTCAAATATTTTCACTCCTAAGCATTTTTCTTATGTCCTATTCTCAGCATCAATACAATCATAATTTTAGCACAAATACTTATGCATTTTATAATCATTTTTTTAAAAACATAACTAAGTTATTCCCTTTTAATCTGACACAAATGCAACTTCCAAAGTTTGCCATCTTTTGCAATATTTTTGCCTAAAAATAAAAATATTAACATTTCACTAGAAACTGGAGATGTGGATTACCAGGATAAAAAATGGGGTTGGTTAAAATGTTTACCCTCAGGACATACTCAAAAGTAGAAATTGTACTTCTGTACTTTGTGCTGCTTTCTTTCCCTAAAGAAATGAAGTATAAATCACAGAAATTCTTTACTTCTTATAGCTATGTGGATCTTAAAAAAAGAGAGAAAAAGAGAGAGAAACATGTATTTGGCAAGGAGGCTACAGAATGTAGATCAAGAGTTCAAAACACCAGAATTACTTCGTGGACACTGACGAATGCACACTGAAGAAATTCAACTTCATAGAACAAAAGGTGGGTGGAGAGAGGCATCTAGAGACTTCAGTTGAGGTAGGAGCCTGCTGTGCAAATTTCAGAGATGTGCTCCCGTATTTGGTCGGTGGCCTTAGGAAGGGGAGAGCTGATTAGTGTGGAGGGGGATCCTTATCTAAGGGTAGAAATGTACAGAGGAAGTTAGGTTGTCTCAGGCCAGCCAGGTCCCCAGTGGAGAAGATGGTACAGGATGGCACCCCCCTACCCACCCATCAGGACTCAAGTTGATCCCATGAAGCACAACAATGAGACCCTATAGGCAACTGAGACACAAGTCTGGAAACCCAGAGAGGAGGGCTTTCAGCAGTACTCCTCCCACACACCACTCCTGCATGAGTCACTCCTGCAGGCCTCTTTGAACAGAGAGTAGACTCCTCCAAATTCCTTCTCCACTGCCTGACCAACCAGCTGCAAATCACTTCTAGTCATCGACTAGAAAAGTGGAAAATCTGCAATCTTAGGACACTTGAAAGAACAGTAACCTAGAAAACTCAAAATAGGAAGATAGAAAGATACAACACATGACACTATGAATCCCCATAGGAATATTTCACCACACAGAGAGAACAAATTTCTAGACCAACTACAAAAATATGGAAGCTTTTCATATTACATACAGAATCCAAAACTCCCATGATAAAGAAATTCAAAGAAATGCCAGAAAACACAGAAAAGCTTATACCACCAAAAAGAAACCTTCAGAAAAACAAATGAAGTCCTGAAAATAAAATTAATGAACAGATGCTAGAAATAAAAGTTGTAAATAAGGAAATAATTGAGATGCAGGATATAGAATCAATAGAGGATATTAAAAAATTCTGGAGAAAGCTAAGAAATTAGAATAGATCAAATGGAAAATCAAATCATATGAGATTACTATGAACATATGCATGCCAGTAAGTTGAATAACCTAGAATAGATGGACAAATTCTTAGAAATATACAACCATCTGATTCTGTATCAGGTAGAAATAAAAAACCTGAACAGACCTATTGCAAGCAAGGAAACTGAAAAGATAATCAAGTCCTCCACAAAACAAATGCCCAGGACTACATGGTTTTACCAGCTCTATGAAATCTTCAAAGATCATCTAATACCTAACTTTCCTAAACTCTTCCAAAAACAAATAAGAGATAGGGAATACTTCCAAACAACTTTACCACGATACCAAAACCAGACAATCTTTACCACGATACCAAAACCAACAAAATCTCTCTCTCTCTCTCTCTCTCTCTCTCTCACACACACACACACACACACACACACACACACAAACTACAGATCATTTTTCCTGATGAACATAGACGAAAAAATCTTCAACATAATCTTAGCAAACTGAATTTAACAATGCATTTAAAGGACCATACATCATAACTAAGTGGGATTTATTCCAGACATGAAAGGGTGACTCAAAATCTAAAAATTAATCAATGTAATTCAACATTCAGCAACAGGAAAAATAAAAATCATATGATCATATCAATAGATGCTGAAAAACACATTTGATAATATTCAACTTACATTTAACATAATAAAGGCCATATATGGCAACATAATAAAGGCCATATATGGCAAACCTGTTGCTAACATCATTCTCAATGGTGATAAACTGAAAGCATTTCCACTAAAATCCTAAATATAATTTAAGAAAGCCACACACCTTCTGAAGAATCAGACAAAAACTAACAAGCAAAATTATTTGCTCAGTTTGTATCTTCTTACCTTCCTTCTGATTTTCTCTATCAAATGTAGTGACCATAGTTGTCTTTGCGGATTTGTGTATCTTTTTAACTTTCTTGTCCTTTCCATAATTAGCAATTAATTGGTGAAATCTATCCATAAAGAGAAAATATGTTTGAATTCCAGCACCTATGGTCAATTCAGTTCATAAAACATAATCATCAAATCAAAACTTTAGACATTAATGCCTCCTCAAGTATGTCGCACACTTGCTACCGTCCTCAAGTGTCCTTTCAAGCTAACTTCATCAATAAATACCTTTTTTTTTGGGGGGGGGGACCCTTGCTGGTGGCCAGAGAAGGAACCAGCGCCGCAGCCCTGCACTCAACCGCTGAGCTACCAGGGGAGGCCCAAATAAATACCATTTTTATTTACATCCTTTCCATTTTCCAGCATTTCTTTTCTTCCTGCTATCACAAATGAGCAACTAGAGCAACAAAGAAAAAGTAACTTTAGGTTATATTTGGGGTATTGATTTGCTAGGGCTTCCATGACAGCATATCACAGATTAGTTGGTTAAATCAACAGAGATTTATTTTCTCAGAATTCTGGGAGCCAGATGTCTATGACCAAGGTGCCATCATGGTAGTTTTCCTCTGGGAGCCATAAAGGATAAATCTATTCCAGAACTCTCCTTAGCTATAGAGCTTGCCACTTCTTCACATAAATTGTCCCTTCATGCACAAATTCCCATTCCACAGTATATTCTATTACATACAAATTAATCTATAGACTGTGCCTACCTGTATTTCTTATATTGATTGATCCCCACAAACAGGGGAAATCAAGGATCCCTGGGTCCAGTGTTCATAACATGATTACCCCTATTACAGAACCTATTCCAGCTTTGTGCTTTGGAGTCCATGTTTTTTTCTGTCTGGTCAAATCCCACATAACTGTTAAAAGGCTGCAGTATTACTTACATAGATAAACCATTGAAAGAAGCATATTCCTCAGCCGTGAATCCATGAATATCTTGGCAAGATAGGTCCACTTCTTGCTGAAGAAGAATACTAACTATATTTGTTGGTTCATTACTGACAGCAATCATAAGGGCTGTTCTGGAGCAAGAGGGAAAAAATATCTATGAATTTTAAACATGCATTCTACTTTTAAAACCATCTTAGAAGTTAATATCCAGAGTACAAAAAGCACTCATCCAACTTAAACACACACTCAAAAAAAAACCCAATTAAAATATGGATAGTAGATATGAATAGACAATCCACCAAAGCAGATATCCAGATAGCTAAATGGATACAAGGGTAAATATTCAACATTATTTTTAACAAGGGAGGTGCAGGTCAAAATCATAAGGAGCTATAATCTCATATCCATGAGAAAATTATATTTTAAAAGGACTCCCAGTAACAAATGCTGGAGAGAATACAGAGAAAGAAGATCCCTGTTACACTACTAGTGGAAATGTTAACTGGTACAGACATTCTAAAAAGTGTTCTGGATTTATCTTGAAAGACTATGGAAATACATGTGATCCAGCAATCCCACCTTGGGCATCTAGCTAAAGAAAATATACCATCAACTCAAAAAATTGTGTGTTTTGCAAGGTTTACTACAACATTATTTACAATGGCTAGGACATGGAAACAACCTAAGGGGTTCTGGGTCCCTTACTTCCATTTAACTAAAGCATCTTGGATTTAGAGATTGAGTTCCTATTTTAAGATTCTAATGTTATAATAATCCACCAATTAATATAGCCCAACAGTTTGATTTCATAGGTTGAAAAACAGATCCAGAAATCTAGATAATTTGTCCCAAATCATGTGGCCAGATCATTTCTCAATGTCATATATCATCCGACTAGGTGGCTGTATTTATAAGCTCTTACTTAGCATTAATTATACCTTTGATCCTTATCTGAAGCATTCACATCTGCCCCTCTCTTCAGAAGAAATTCTACCATTTCTGTATTATTTTTAGTAATGGCAAGTAAAAGTGGAGTATACCCATCCTGAAAAAAAAATTTCAAAATGGTTATTTAAAATATTGTATCAATATTACACACCTTTTAGATTTAAGTTCAATTTGAAAAATACATGTGGTTATAAGATACCTCTCAATATGGACTTTAATTTTTAAAAGATTTTGAGACATAGCACAATACGATTCAAAGGTCAAAGAAATAAATTGGAGCTAAGCCAGCCAAAAAATAAAATTAAGGTTTCTAAATTAGCCTTAATTCAAATTGTGGACAAAAGCATCCTGGAATATTTAAGTGATGAATACCTAATTTTAAAGTAAGTATTGCAAAACATCAATTCACTTTTTCATAATATTGTTACAATTGGGCTTCTATAGGGTTTCATTTAATGAAATTTCAAATGCTGGCACTTGTTTTGGGCTGTCATATAGACAAAGTATCAGTGAATTAAAGTGTTAAGATGCCTTAAAAATATACATTTCTCAGTTATCCATAATCTCAATAAGAAAGTTGGATTATTTTTAGCATAAGTGATTTTCTAATTCAGTCCTATTCTCATCATTATTCATGAGTATATCAGCATAGAAAAAGTAGGCTTTATGATTTTTAATCAATATCCACTTAGGAGAAAATCACATCTTTTTCATTTGATACAGACATTTAAACAGTTATGACTGTTAACATATGGTGCTGCTTTGGAGGTCAAGATCAAAGTCAAGTAAAATGGATAAAGACATTTTGAAAAGAAAAATATTATCAGTATTTGATAATCTCATTCTCCTTCCCTCCTCCCCACTTTCAGTTTGGAAAATTCACTTTTTATATAGCATAGGTTTCAACGGACATCAATTATTTCAAATGAATAGCTTTCATTATTTTCTAAAATATTAACTCTAAAATAGGTGTTCAAATATACAACCTTATTGTGAACTTCAATATCGGCTTTGTGTTTAAGCAGTTTTTTGACTAGTGAGATGCTGTGACCGCAGACAGCATAATGAAGAGCAGTATTGCCATCTTTATCTGCCAGGTTTGGGTCTGCACCATGGTATAAAAGAATAGTAGCACAAAGTTCCTTTTCACACTGTACTGCCTGTCAATACAACAAGACTAGATGAGCATTTTACTACTTACAATATAATATATTAAATTGGTGTTTAATACTATGTCCTAAAATATAAATGCCAACAAAAGTTAATTAAAAGAACTCAAATACATTCTAACTGAAGAGGAAAAATTAACACACCTTAATCAATGGGGATCTATTGTCACTGTCCCAGACATTTATTTTACACTGCTTCTCAATTAAGAGGGATACAATATTTGAATATCCATTAGCACAGGCCAGGTGCAAAGGTGTCCTGTATCAATATAACAAAAAAACAAAGTTAGAGGAAAGTCTTTTTTTTTTTTTAAGATTTTTTATTTTATTTATACAAGTGCTGGGGTACAGGCCAGATGTGCAGGAGGGCGAAAGAATTCACCAGAGACTGAGCGTGGAACAGAACAGGCAGACTGACGAAATACACCGCTGAGGGGAGCAGCGGGCGAGACAGGAGAGGTCTGCTGCACCATGTGGGATTCTCCCTGGCCAGCCGGGGTCAAACCCACACTGCAGAGGCTGCAAACAGCTTCACAGCGCGGTGCTTAACCGCCTGTGCCACCAGGGAGGCCCTAGAGGAAAGTCTTTTTTTTTTTTTTTAAAGATTTATTTATTTATTTATACAAGAACCGGGGTACAGGCCAGATGCACAGAAGGGTGAGAGGATTCACCAGAGACAGAGTGGGCAACAGAACAGGCAGACTGACGAAATAAACTGCTGAGGGGAGAAGCAGGCACAAAAGGAGAGGTCTGCCGCGCCATGTGGGACCCTCGCTGGCCGGCAGGGATCAAACCCACACAGCAGAGGCTGTGGACAGCTTCACAGCGCTGCGCTCAACCACCTGCGCCACGGCCCCACTAGTGGTTATATATTATAACCAATATCATGCCAGATCATTTATTATATATATATAGGCATTTTCTATGTGTACTTATTTATATTTACATAAAACTTACATTAATTTTAATTGATTTTACCTGAATTTAAAAGGCTATGCAAATGATTTGAATATCAACATTTATTTAGTTTCACTTTAAAGAAAATTTAACTATAATGAGTTTTAAAAAATAGGTTTCTTTTAGAAAATAAAATGGTGTTTTAGTTTTGGAAAGAATAAAATTAGGCATATAATTACAAGTATCTTAGAGAAACACTTTAAAATTAAAATTATTCTTATTAAAAAGTCTTAACATTTATTTTACCAATGTATTATATTCCCAGTCTAAGACTTTAGTTTATATTGTTACTTTTTAATTCATAGAATTTATAGAAAATCTAAATCCCATGAGTGTTAGTGCCTAGTGCTAGTGCTAGTCTAGGGCCTCAGGTTAGCTGATGTCATTCAAGTTCTGTTTTCCCCCAATCTTTTACTGTCTCATAAAGCAGAGTAGTCAGGGAACAATACATTGATAATGTGACAAACAAATCCCTAAAGGAAGTGAGAGAGCAAGCCCTGAGGCTATCGGAGGGAAAGACACTTTACACAAAGGAATCAGTAAGTTCAAAGACACTCAATGCACTTAGTGCATTCCAGTGGAACACTAAGGAGACCTCAACAGCTATAGGTTAACGAAATAAGAGTCATATGAGATGAGAGGTAACAGAGTGGGTGGATGTCATGTGGGGCTACATGGGCCATTGAAGGGACATTGCCTTTTACCCCTAGTGAGATGGAAAGCACATGGGTACTGCTAAGGCAAGAAATGACTTCATTTGGTGTCCATTTTACAGGATCATTCTGGCTACTGTGTTAAGAATAAACTAAAAAGTTTAAAACAGAACACTAGCCAGGAGGTTACTATAGTCATTGTGGTTAAAGCATGATGGTGGCTTTGACTAGAATTCTAACAATGAAGGTGACAAGAAATGGTTGGATTTTATATATATTTTGGAGGGGGAGCCATTGGATTTGCTTTGAATTAGATACAGAATGTGAAAGAATGAGAGAAATCAAGAATGAATTTAGGTCTAAACAACTGGGAAAAAGGATGGCAACTATAGAAAGAGAAGAGCAGATTCAAAGAGGAATAACAAAAGCACAGTTTAGCAATGTTTCCTATCTCAGTTTGAAATGCCTAAACGGTGATGGAGCCAGTTGACATCACATTGGTAACTTGAAATCAGGCCTCTCTCCACTCCACTTCTAGCCAAGAGCCTATTGTTAAACATTTATCAGCACATCACAGCCTATTACATAGCCAAATGGAAGTGCAGGCATTTTTGTTCTAGAATTTGGAGTAGGCTACACTGGATATAAAATGTTGGAAAGCATTGGAATATAGATATTTTAAAACAACCTGTTATTTTCACTGAGTGAAGATTTTAAAAGAAAGAGAACATCATTTCAAGGTCTGAGTCCTAAATATTCACCAGTGAGGAAGATGAGGAGAAACCAGCAAAGGAGTCCGAAGAGTCGGAAAAATGTCAAGTAAATCCCAAACCTTGAAAGATAACATAATATTTCAATTACTACTGCTGAGAGCAAGTAAGATACCTGGCAGAGATGCCAGCCAGGTAAAACTGAGAATTGACCACTGAATGAAGTTGTGCTGAGGTTAACCTTATCTTGTCAAGTAAGTCAGTGGAGTGGTGTAGGATAGTTGGATAAAAAAATCAGCCAACTCTGGTTTTATTGAAAGGGAGAGTTAAATTACTAACAGCTGACACATAACCTCTTTCTAACCAGTTACCCAACTATGATGAAAGAGGATATTTTCCAGACCCTATAATTTAAAAACTTCCCAAAAGATTTTAAAACATACAGTACATTTTTTTTATTAAAGTCAAACACAAAACCTGTTTCTTACTATATAAAATTAATTTTGTTTTGCAGTAAGTGGTTATTAATGAGCTGTTTGAAGCTACTCTGCAATTGAAGAAAATTTTCACAGGTAACCTGCATTAATATTGTTAACTGTTTCCAGGTCTTAAAATCTTATAGATGTAAATACCATCCTTGAGTAGAGATGGTCATCTTGACTCTTTTCCCTTTTCCTACAAGTGGTAATTCTTAGATGGCGGGGGGCAATATACACCAAAAAATAAATAAATAAATAAACAAACAAACAAACAAATAAATAAAACTAATCCAAAGCAGATGAAGAAAGGGAGAAAAACCCAGGGCTGACTAGGTGGTGGTGAAGGAGAAGGAATCAGGGAAGCCAAAATTTCCTCAAATACTGGGATAAGCATTTTTAAAGATTAGTAGGTGAAAAAAGGAGGGTCACCCTCTGCGGAAGGTTACCAGACCTCTTTGGTCTGTGAACTCTAGAGTGACAATGGCAGCCCCGACAAGTCCTGATTATGATTGGAGGCCCCGGAGTCTTGTTTCCCCTCCACTGCGCCCATGTCACTCACGGCAGCTCTGCTCACCTGTACTGCCTGTCCCGCAGGTTCACATCATGTTTCTTGACCTGGAGGTAGTAGTTCACCTTCTCCAAATCCCCGACCGAGGCAGCTTTGTGAAGTTTCTTTAAATCTCTATTTCGAAGGCGGTAGCCCCATTGGGCGGCACTGACACTAGCCTGTCCTAGGTGTGCCGAGGGGCCGTGGGATCCACCCTTCCGACTCCAGGTGAAAAGCTTCTGCATGGCAGTGCAGGTGCCAATCACTCAGTCAGACCAGCAAGTCTCCTTCTACAGTTCCACATGCCTCTGGGCGCCAGTCCCTTGACCCTCTACCGGAAGTGGGACAAAGACGGGAAAAGGACGGTGCAGCTTGCATGGGGCCACTCGAGTTCTCGGTTGCCTGGCAACACTCAGTGTCTGCAGCGTAGGTTGGGGGCTAGTCTCAGTGGCGCCCAGGGCAATTTCAATTCAGATGTTGGACTGCCACACTCAGACTTCTTTTTAGATCTAACAAACAGCCTTTGGGCAGAAGTCTACCCAGTTTCTTACAAAACAAGCAAACAAACGAACAAAAAGAAAACCCTTGTCCTTCAAGGATAGACCTAATATAATGGCTTGAACTCTTACAAACTCAGAATTACCTTCCTCGTGGTGAGGATGAATCTCCTCCAGCGATAGTGCCTTCCAGTCTGCCTGCATTGTTTCACCAAGGTTCACATAATACAGCCCCTCTTGAACAATAGGTGTGATTGCTCCATCACCCACGCCTAGTTTTAAACTTTCTCTTGTTTAATAAAAGGAAAATTTAACTAGAGGGCCTGTACTATTTTCAGCTCGAAATTCCATGATGTACAGTTTACTTAAAATAGCTAAGTTTATAAGCCACTTTCTCCTGGTTTGATAGAAATGTTTATGTACAAATGAGTAGTGCATTTTCAGTTCACTAAAGGTTTGTTCTTATAATTGTTTGCTTGTTATATAAGCAAAGCCACAGCACAGCCCATGTTCAAGTATCACAAATTCCAAATCACTGAAACTTTAATATAACATATATAGTAGTACACACATAACACAGGGAGACTTTATCCATTAGTTGCCAATCAAAAGTTAATGATAGGGAACCTCCTTATTTTAAGAAAAATAGAAGTGTGCATTAGTGATTGCAGACCTTAGTTCACTTAGTTAAACTCTGTTGTCTTGGGGATAGATTCTGTTATGACTGAAAAGTAGAAAGTACATTGTGATTTACCAATTAATTACCAATTCTCAGAAATGACAAAATGGTAAAACCACCTAGCAATTTATCTTTACTTAGACTTTCATAATGATTTGATAATTAAGTTGTACTGATTGATATTAGTTGTTCTCTTCACTTAATGTAAAAATAATTTCAAAATATTATTCTGACTTCATAAGGACCACTGGTGAGACTCCAATCTAGTGATATTGCAGACAGTAGAGTCATGTGACGGTTGCTCTGGAAAACTAAAATTAAAGCTTCCTCAAAGATGCTACATAGGGTTGAAAGGGTTTTCATTTGCAGGATGTTATAGTTGCACTATTAGTCTTTGGGTTCAATTAGTTCTGCCTGTAGACATTTCCACTGAAGTCATTTAGGATTCTTCAGGGCTCTAAATTTCTACCTCTAGTGACAATAGGAAGCAAATGTAGTAAGTTCTTAGATGACTCCCCAATGACACCATGATCCAAGGTGATGTTTAAACTGTTTATTTTGGCAGACAGAAAGACATATTACTCGACAGGCATTAAGATGCTTGCATTCACTTAAATTTATTGATTAGATTTTCATTACTTATCTTTTTGCAGTAAGGGAAAGCATTTCCAGGTAATTGTCTTGGTCTGTAATTATTTAAAATTCTCTCCATTTTTATGATTTTTATATAAGCAAAGCCACAACACAGTCCAAGTATATGGTCTGTAATTGGTCAAGTATATGTAGATGGTCTGTAATTATTGATAGTTTCCTGCTGTCAACCTAAAATGTCCAGTCTTTCTTAAGCTCTTATCCCCCACTTATGCCCAAGCCACAGGCAAAATTCCTACAGACAATGGGATTTATTATCATAAAAGTTGCTGTATGATTCTATTAATCAATTTAGTCTATCCTAGCACTGATCTTAAACCTTTCTCCTATGGACTCTCATAGCATCCAATACATGCCTTCCCCATGTCTATGTTTACTTTATAGGAAAATGGCCTTAAGCTCCTTGACGGCAAAGACTTATGTTTTATGAAGTCCCTTTTGCAGTTAATTGCCCTTTACAAAAAACTTCAGTAGAAACATTTCACCAAGAAACATCTTTCATTAAACTGCACAGATAATGCTAGCTAGCATCACAAAGCGCAGGTAATAAAACAGATTAAAATTGATCTGAGCCTTTTAAAATACAAAATTCTTTACAGAATAAATCTCATTAAAGAACATTAAAATGTTAACACTTGCATATTAATCATGTTGATTTCCTTACAATACTCATGTAAAAAGAAATCAAATTTGAACTGGTTATGAAATATGAACATAAAAAGTTACCAACCTGCACCAAGGAATATTGCATACCCATGTGGTATATTTTCATTTATTTCCCTTATTCATAATGTTACTTAATTCCTATTTTGGTAATTATTTTCCTGCCATCAACTAGAACAATATTTTACTAGGCATTTTAAAAGACTTCAGAAGACACATATTAGAAACTGATTATTGTTGAGGGAGTATGGCTTGTTTATTGGCTTATGTGTCATTAGCGTTGTCAATATGGGAAAACATCTTGACCCTAGATTTCCTCCAGAGAATACATTTCACTTCACAATTGAATAATTTCTAACTCTCACTTGAAATTTGTAATTACCACTCCACAGTACCATATTTATTAAAATGTCTTACAATGTTGCATCAGCTACACGACAATGATAAAGAAACAGGAGTCATGTAGCAGGCTATAGGATGCAGAATGCCCCTCAAGAGCAAGATCCTGGTCTTTTTGTTTACAAAGGGTGGGTGAAACTGCATTTTGGGCTTTCGGGAGGGTGAGTCCAATGATATACACCCCCCGACTCCCACCCATGGCTCCAATCTTAACAAGGCGTTCCACATTAACAAGGTGTTCCACTGATTAGTCCTTGGGCGCAAAGCACATCAGTCACCCGCCCCAGGGTGGTCAAGCATCCTGCTCTTGTCTAACTTGAAAGGAGCCTTGTATGGTAAACCCACATTATAATTCTTACTCTTGCCTTACTTTCTTTACCCCATGTTGCATCATTTTCATATTACTAAATTGATTATAAAACTTTAGATTACAAAAGCCAAATATTTATAGCCAGTACTAGCGAAACTTTTGTTTAATCCTCCCATTTTCCTGAACATCAAATTAATCCGGTAGATGGTGTTTCATGTCCAATGAAGAATACTATTTCCACAGTTCTACTAGTCTTATTTCTGTGAGTGTAGATATTTTCCTGTTTTATCTGTAAACCAAAAAACTAGTCAATATTAAAAAAATGAGTGAAATCTACCTCTAGTCTGAAAGGATCCATTCTAGAAGCCATTATCAACATTTATACAAATCAGCCATCATCTCCTTAAGACAACGGTCAGCAGGCCAAATTCAGCCTGCCACCTACTGTAACTTTCATTGGAACACAGCCACAACCTGTCATTTATGTATTATGGCTGTTTCATGGTACAAAAACAGAGCTAATCTGCTATAACAGAGACCATATGGTCCTCAAGACAATACGTTCAAGAGAAAACTACTTAAATTTTGTTTAAATTACAAGAATGTAAACATTTTTCTATTTTCTTCTCATCACATAGACTTTGGCCTACAGGAGGTGAAAAGAATTTTGGTGGACCAGACTGGATAGCTAAGCACTACTTTTAGCAAATTGTTTCTATGGGTTCTTCTAAAGTGTAATAAACCAAATGTACAGTTTGAGAAAGCTCACTTGTAGATGAGGAATATTATCTACTTGATACACTCAAATAATCAAGCAGAAAATAGACCTGACATGCTCTGAGAAACCACAATTACTTATTTTCCCATCAGCTTTATGGAACCAAGTTATGGAAAGTTGTTGACAATTACAGCAAACACTGCCTCAATGGAAACTTAAGGTGTAGCTCCTCCTTTTTATAAATAACAAAAAACTCCTTTAATTCTGGAAATTTCCCAGGTTTTCAAACTGAAAGCTAAGGTTGTTTCTAAGACTATGTGGAAACATATTTTTTTTTCATACAGTATATAACTTTATTAGCATTTTTCTTTTTCTTAACCAAACATTTTTAGACACACTTCAAATGTGCTAGGGAACAACTACCAAAGCAGTGTGATAAATATGGATGGTTCAAATAACTATAAAAGACTTACCTTCTTGTGACTTAATAAGCAGGAAAAGAAAACTATGTATGCTCTACTGGTAGTTCTTTGTATGCTTGATTTATAGCGCATAAAAAATTCTTTTTAACTAGGTTTCATAATTAAAATATTTCCCCAAAAATTCCCATTAGATATTTACACCATTTAACAGAAAAATAAAACCAAGTTACCAAGCCTATAATTTAAGCAAAAAAAATTTTTTTCAATAAAATGTAGAAATACTTTAATTTACATATTACAATGAATCAATACATAGTCAAAATCCACAATTACACATTCATTAAAATTCTGCACATCATCCTCAGAGTAAGTTTCTGTACAAAGATTTACAGCTGTCCCATGTGTGTAGTCTTTCCTCAGTGTGCTACAGAGTTCAGAGGTTCTGCACGAATGTTCCCCAAATCAAGTGCAGAATCTGTCTCTTCATCAATTTCTCCAATGACTGCACTGTAATTATTCAAGGGAAAAACAAATCAGTTAAAATAATCTCATTTCTGAGTAAAGCTGAGAGGACACAGTAAAATAAGTTACATTATCATGAGGCAGTGAATTGTATCAATTTAAATGACAAAACTAAAAAAAAAAGATTTGAAGGCAACATTACTACAGGAACTAATAAAAAGGACTGATCAAATATAGTAATTGGATCGTGAGTCTTTAAAGAAATATAGACACATATGGAATAGATGATTCAAAAACTCAAAATTTCCAATCTTATGATTTCTTCTAAATATAGGGACTAAATTGGGGGTAAAAAAATCTAAACCAGGGCCTCTCTGGTGGTGTAAGGAGTTAAGCACCACATTGTGAGTCAATGCACAGTCTCTGCAGCATGAGTTCAATCCCCGGCTGCCAGGGAGCAACCCACATGGCATAGCAGATCTCTCCTGACCCGCTCACTGCTCCCTTCAGCAGTGTACTTTGGTCAATCTGCCTGTTCTGTTACCCTCTCTGTCTCTGGTGAGTCGTCTCATCCCGCCACACCTCTGGCCTATACCCCAGCTCTTGCATGAATAAATAAATAAATCTTTAAAATCAAATCCATTACTCGATAAGCAAATACAAGTGTCTATTATTTGAATAACATCAATGAACTAAATGTCTCAATGGTATATAGTATCTAGTAGTTTCATTTCATGATTTTGCAGTTTACTCAATTTAAATTCAAGATAAAAAATACAGTTCTTTATATATAAAAGACAGCAGTAGCAACAATATTTAGATATCTACCAAATGATTTTGTGATGACTAATAGGCTTAAAACCATTAATTTTTCTTTGATTCAATACTAACGTGCATCCATAATAGTAATTTCATTAATACTATATAGGTAACCAAGCCAACACTCTCTAATACATTCAGTTATTGTTAACATGCAGAGATTAGGATACATATAAAACATTATTCCATAAAAAACTGGCTATTTGTTTGGCTTAAATTTATTTGGTTTTAATAAGAGTAAATTCTATAGTCAAATACTTGTAATACAGAATTTGCCCAGTTGTGCACTTTATTTTGCTTGGTTGTCTGTAACCAAACTTATCCCTGAGGCCCAGGAATGGGGATCAGGGCCCATGAGTCACAGTGTCACTGTGGCAGCCTTCTGGACCGGAGCCTGCCATATGTGGGGCAGGCACCGAATTTGACACAGCTGCAACAATTTTGCTTTAAACTATGTGAGGCCTTTAGTTTTCTAATAGATGGAAAGTACCAAACTCTGGCAGTCTTATATTGTTCTCTCAACAAAAAACAAGTCGAAGATCTCAATTCCATTTAGGGCCATTTAGGGCCTCCGTGGTGGCACAAGGGATTAAGATGCAACCTATGAAGCTATCAGCAGCCACTGCAGCACGAGTTCAATCCCTAGCCAGGGAGCAACCCACATGGCACAGACCTCTCCTGACTTGCCCACTGCTCCCCTCAGCAGTGTACTTTAGTCAATCTGCCTGTTCTGTTCCCCACTCTGTCTCTGGTGAATCCTCTCACCACCACCCCCTCCCCACACCGCCTCACACATACTCACACCTCTGGTCTATACCCCAGCTCTTGTATGCATAAATAAACAAATCTTTAAAAAAAAGTTAGTACCATTTAAAATCCTCAAGGTAGACAAAGTTTGAAAAACAGCTCTCTGGAGAAAAAGGAGGCTGATTTATAGTGTTTACTGATATCTGTGCAAATACTCCCACTATGGTATCAAGACACCAGTGACACCTGAGACTAGGAAAAAAATTTTAAGAAGTCTCTTTAACAAAATATTGAGTATTAGGCAGGAGCCTTAGCTATTAGAATATGGACAAATCTCAGTAGTTTACAGTATAATTTTTAAAAAGAAGGCTCTGGTTAGCTCCTGAAGAAAGTTAGACAAAATGAATAGAGTTGCCTCAATTTAAGTAAATTAAACGAAACCACATTTGTTAAAAAAAAAAAAAAATGAACACATTCTATTAACTACATAAGGCTTACACAGTACATTTTCAGAAAAAAAACCTCTCCTCCTTATATGCTGTATATTTAATCTGCTTTAAAAAAATGTAGTACTTACACATTGTCACCTCTTACAATGTATAACCCTAGAACCACTTGTTCTACTCCCTGTGAAGAGCTGAATACTCGTTCATGGCTTTCATCCAAAATCAAATTAATGGTCTGGTCAAAACCTTTCAGTGTTCCCTGTAAAGAAAATATTCAGAGAAAAAAAAAATATTCTGGTTTACATCAGTGTGTAAATGCAGCAATATTACAATTATAGTTTCCAGGTACCCAACAGAAGTACCTGTTTTAAATATAAATTCACTGTATAAAACCACCAGTATTCTAATGGTACAAAACTTACCCTGTTGGTTTAGAGGGGGCAAAGAAATTGCACCATATATCTGGCTAGTGTAGACTTGCTGAGAGACATAAAGGAAATCTATGAATCAGTGCAAAGGAAATAGCATAAAAGCTCATGTAATCCTGACACTAACACTAAATAAAAGATACATATATATCTAGAAGCCAGATATACCTACTATAGCAATGTAACTACCACTTTGTATTACATAGTAGTACTGGGCTCTGTGCTAAATACCTCACCACAATATTTCAACTAATCTATCAATAGATCCTTTCAGGTAGATACTATATTGATACCTACATCATAAAAGAAAAACTGAAGCACAGAAAGGTTAAGTAAGCTCTGAAGGTTTCATGGATAGAAAGCAACAGAGCTAGTATCTGAACCATAGAGAAGCAGTACAAGTAAACAGAGAATGAAAAAGCTAAATACTTACCACAATCATTCTCCCATCAGAAGTAATAACAGCAACAGTTCCTGACAACTTAGTCAAGGAAATCATTCCTCAGGGAATGTAAACTGAAAACTTATAATTTGGTAATAAAATGGTGTGAATTTAAAAAAGTTATAGAACCTTGCAACATAGCCACTATATTCACAACAAAAAACTTTGAGTTCTAACTTTTTAATACTTCGTAATTACCCAATTAAAGGGAAAAAAAACCTTTTTGTATTCATCAATGTATGGGCTATTTGGCACTGAGTACTGCCAATGACTTTAACCAAACATTTCACTCATTCTTAGGCACGTTTCTTCATCTCTACAATGAGAATTTTCATCAACGCTGAGTGACGTTACAGGAGTCAACTGTCTTTTAGGACTTGGCTTCTTAAATTCAGAAAAGATACTATAATCAATCTTACAAGGTACTAACATGTCTACATCATTGCAGTGTCTTTAGTATTTCACTTTTGTTTTCCAACTTTGCACACGCAAGCACGACGATCCATTACAAGAAGCAGCATTCTTTTCCTTCTACCAATAAAAAGTTTAGATTTCAAATGGTAAAGGGTCAGGAATTCAACTTGTGAACAATCTCTAACAAGATTTTGCTCCTCTTGAACATGTGCAAAGACTGTGATTAAACAAGCACATGGATTTACAAGACCACAGTCGCCGCCAGGACAACTGTCCGTGTTATTCCCAAACACGAACCTACAGTCAACAGTTGATTTCTAAAAAAATCGGAGAGAAGTTCCATAATCACATTAAATTTTTTAGGATGAAACTGAACGGTGCTTTGGGCCCGCATATTCGGCGGGCTCCAGTCCCGGACCCCTAACTCCCAGGCCCGCCGATCCCGACCCCGGACCCCGGACCCCGAACCCCTCCAGCATCCTCCCTCCGCAGTGCAAACGCGAGCCTCGTCGCGGTTCCGGGTAACACTCGCGGCGCTCGGCCCAAGGATACGGTTGATGTAATTCTCCAGGGCGGAAGTCATGATCCCCGGCCCGGCGGCTCCGGACCGCACACCTCCGGCGACGACGAGAGAAGCTGGAAAAACCCGCCAGGAACCGGCGGTAACTTCCGCCGACGGGTGGCGGCAAATATCGCGAGACTTACCGCCGGGCGGCCTCCCGCGTCAGATTAAAAGTGACAGACCAACCAGATGCGAGAGACGCAGCGGGGACGCGGTAGTGCGCGTGCGCAGTACGCCTCTGCCGCTCTTCCGGTCGGTGATCTCGGCCGCCGCGAGAGACAAAAGCGAACGGAAGGCGGAAAAAAAAAGAAGAAACTTCCTAAAGTGGGGTTAGCGGGTGAGCTTGGGAAAGGGAGTTTGTTAGCGGAGTGGAAGGAAATGTGGGCGTTACTAGGCAGAAACTGTTGCGAGAAGACGGGGGAGGCGGGAGAAAACGGAAAGAGAGGTGCTCGTCGCAGGTGAAGTAGATGAGTACAATTTTCTGGTGAAGTGTTGGTGCAGGAAAGTGGAATCCCTAATACTGTGTCCCATGGGCCGAAAATGAAATCTGATCAGGTGAATGGCAGTAGACAGGCACTGACGTTGGAATCTTAGCGTAAACGTTTCTGGAGGGCACAGCAGTAGAAAGTATGTTTGCATGTTCTGCATTTGCCCCTGAAAGTGAGCCACCTTGGAGACTTGACTTCTTCAAGAAACAGTCTAGACTGGGAAAGGTGTGTGAGCCTCCTGTAGAAAAAAAGCCTCCCTGGGCCTCCCCTGGTGGCGCAGCCGTTGAACGGTGGATTGCGAGGCTGCCCGCAGCTTCTCTAGCGCCGGTTCGATCCCCGGCCACCGGCGAGGGTCCCATTAAAAAAAAAAAAAAAAGAGTCTCCCTTTCACCACGCCCCCAAAGCCCCTCAGGGTAAGTTAAATGAAAGGCTGGTCGGCTGCGGCTGCGTCTCTCTGGAAAAGATTGGTCCAGCAAGTCTTCTAGATGAGCACCAGAGGGTTCTGGTTCTGGCCCTGCTGAGGAATTGGGTGGGTATTCCTTGTGCAATAATGTAAACTCATCTGGACCTGCTGCCTTAGATCCTGCAACAGCTATTATTTTGGATATTTACAAATATTACCAGAAAACGTCACATTTTGACTTCACTGGTGTGCTCTAACTTCAAAGGAGTTGAAGTTAGAAAAGGCTCTCTATACAAAGTACCAGGACAAGCTAATTCCCTTTTCATAATCTCTTCATTTCAGTTAGGCTTGTGATTTCTTAACTGGAGAATTGTGGGTTTGAAATAACTTGAAATGTCAGCAGTTTTCTTCTGAGAGTGAAGCATCTGTTTTACAGTGTACCCACAAAATTACCTACTGATCACTCCCAAATGGTGAACATTTTGCATACTGAAACTTATTCTGACCTGTTTGAAACCACATGGAGTCAGAAATTAGGTGGTCATTGTCCCAGTGATTGCTGGGGGGAAATAAATGTAAGTGAAAACATAGAAGATACTGTGTGAAGGCTTTGAAGTCTTTCAAAAGAAAGTGAAAGCACTAATTAGTGATACATGAATTATCATTAATAAGGAGTTTTTAAAAAACATAATAACTTAAGAAACTAATTTCATCATAAGTACATTAAATTCTAAGTACGACCATGTGAAGTTTCCATTAAATTAATTTGCCAGATAAATAGCAGATGTGTAGTGTTTATGATGTATCATGAAACTCTTTGAATTTTTTTTACATGTCTTAAAACTACTATATTTTCTGTAGTCCCTAAGAAACACAGATGTGGACAGAAATGGCATCTCTGGCATTTGGATGTTCTGTTAAGAACAAAGAGAAGGCCGTTTAGTAAGATGAAAACAACACATGTGATTTATGTAAATTAAATGAACCTTGTAACCTTGGGAGTACATGGGTATAAAGTTCAGCATCTCATATGGAAAATTAAAATTCTAACAAAATATATATATATATATTTAAGCATCCGGCACCTAAAAGATTAAGAAGCTTACAATGAATACTTCAACTTAAGTCATCATTTAAATGAATGTCTATTACTGTGAGAGAGACAACCAAAGTATGTTTGGATTGACACTCATTCCATTAGTTCTGATTCTAAACCTTGAGCAGAAAACCATGGTTTTCTTTTATATTTTGTTTATTTCCTAACATGGTCATGAACTTTCCCTTCATTAGTAACTCATTTCCAGATATCTAGAACAATAGTCAAGAGTTATCAAAAACTGGTCAGTTAAGGTGGGAAAGTGTATAAAGGAATTCTGTAGGCATCTGACATTACTGGAGTTGACTTTCTGTTAGTTAAAAATGAATAAAATGATCTCAGGAAGCACAGCTGAAGAGGATCTTAATGAATCTGAGAAGAAGAAATAATCCCTTTGTAGCCTGTGCTCTTGCATTAACCTGAAGAATCAGACACATGCTAGAATCTGAGGGAACTGAATTTGCACTTTTCTGTGAATGGTCCATGGAAAATGGCAATAACAATTGAAAGATTAAAATTTACTTTCAATCTTACATGATACTGATTTATATTTCTACAAGTTTCACAAGTGTCAGCCTCAGCAGTATTTATTGAATAGATCTAACTAGGGTTCTCTAAGCAGAAAAGGACATAAGTAAATCATGGTCTCTCTTTACAAGGAAATTTTCTGAATAGGTACAGACCATTTACCATAAACATGAAATAATTAGTATACATAGAAGAAAGGTAATGGATATGGAGAACTTAGTTCACTTAACACTATAAATTACAGAGGTTTTCTTGTTACTTGTTTGGGGTATTTTGTGTGTGTCTGGTTTGCTATGATAGGCTATCTATCACTCCCCCCACCCCATTTGTGCCTCGTGTTTTTCAACCTAACTGGGTCCATAATGCTGTGATTTCTGTGTGTTTTTTCTTTTACTAATTCTCCAAAGAAGAAATTAAATTAAAAAAGTTAAATCATTGTTATTCTGTAACTTGGCAAAAATCATGCAACTAAGAAGTGATAAATTAAGGAAATTAACTCTAGGCCTATCTGAATTTCAATCTGCTACTTGTGTCAGTTGGAAAAGTAGGGTTCAAATAGAGAATAACTTGAACAAGGTAACCTTGATTTTATTCTGTTTATCTTTGAAGCAACCTTTTAAAATTATTTTTTTGTTGTAATAACCTTTTTTTTTTAAAGTTTTTTTTTAACCTCTATTTTTTGGTATGCCATTTCTTTTTTTTTTTTTAAGATTTATTTATTTTTATTTATACAACACTGGGTACAGTCAGAAATGCAGGAGGGTGAGAGAATTCACCAGAGCCAGAGTGGGGAACAGAACAGGCAGACTAATGAAATACACTGCTGAGGGGAGCAGCGTGCACGGCAGGAGAGGTCTGAGCGCCATGCGGGACCCTTGCCAGCAGCCGGGGATCGAACCGGTGTTGCAGAGGCTGCGGGCAGCTTCACAGCCCAGTGCTCAACCGCTGTGCCACCAGGGGAGGCCCATAACCTTGTTTTTTAAACAAGCAAAAGAGACACCACTATCCATTGGACCTGCTCTACCCTTGTCCCTACCCCCTAACCACTTCCCCTCTAGTAACCTCAGTCAAAGTCACTGGTTTATTTTTATTTTATTTTGTCTCTCTCCCTGCTTTGTTTCTTTACATTTTACATGTAGGTGAAATCTTTCAATATTTGTCTTTTTCTTTCTGATTTATTTCCTCTTTACATAATCCCATCAAGTTCCTTTCTTTTTGCTGCAGAGGCGAAATTTAATCTTTTTTATAGCCAGATAGTAGTTCTTTGTGTATAAATACCTTGTCTTCTTTATCCAGTGGGCACTTAGGTTTGTTCCCATATTTTAGCTGTTATGAATAGTGCTGCAATAAACACTGGGATGCATATAACTCTTTGGGTAGATAACCCAGAAGTGGAATTGTTGTATCATGTGGTAGTTCTATTTTTAAAGTTTTGGGGGGGAAGCTCCATATTATTTTGGTGCAAGTATGCTTGCACTATTTTACATTCCCACCAAAAGTATATGAGGATTCCTTTTTCTCCATACCCTCACCAATACTGGCTATTACTAATCTTTTTGAGGTAAGCCTTTCGCACAAGTGTGAGGTGATGTCTCATTGTGGTTTTGATGTGCATATCCCTATAAGTGATGAGCATTTTTTCATGTGCATGTTGACTATCTCTGTCCTTTTTGGAGGAATGTCTGTTCAGATCATCTGCCCATTTTTTACTTGTTTGTTGTTGTTGTTGTTGTTGAGTTGAAAAGAGTTCTTTATATATCTTAGATATTAACCCCTTATTGGATGTATAATGTGCAGATCTCCCATTCAATTAGCTGTCTTTCCATTATGCTGATATTTTCTTTCACTATGCAGCAGCGAAATAGTAAAATTTAAAAAGGGATAGTAAAATTAGCAAAGAATTCTGACTGTGGAATTTTTCTGGAAGTACAGTGTAGCAGTGAGCTACAGTGATATTCAAACTTTTTTTTTGCTCATTTTATGTCTAGATTTTTTTTTTAATTAAAAAAGTTTTAACTAAAAACTCTTTAAATAAGCTTACTTTAAAATTCTAAATTTTTGTATCATAAGTTTATACATTACAAGGAATGTAATTACCATCACATGGTATTTTCTTGATGTACTTTAAATGTATTTTTATTAAAACCTTGGAGCTGCAGCTTTAGCTCACAAGTTTAAGACAAAGCACACACTTAGCAAACCTATTAGCTGACTTTATTTTTTCAGCTTAAATAAATGTGTGTTCCCATGCAATCTGTGAGAACTGTTGGAGAGAAGGGGACTTCCTCTTAAACCTTCTGAAGTTTCAGACCATAAAAAGAAAACAAATCTATACCGAAAAGAAATCTATACTCAATATCTTGCTTGAACTGAAAGTCATACTGTATTCAGATCTTTAGTGAGCAGGATGCCCATCTCCTTGTCTCTATACCATAGCTTGTTATTGGGTTATGAAGGAAGACTGCATGTGTACCTGATCTCACAGAAGCCTATGAGAACAACTTTCTTGCTCTGTCTGTATCTGCCCCCTGCCCCCAGAGTTTAGACACAGGGCCATGAGGATGGGTGAAGAAAATGATCTTTGTAGTTTCTTTCCATTTCATACAAATGAACTCATACAAATAGATGACTACAGATGCATCAAAATTCCCCATTCTGACCTGAATTCTAGATGTTCATTTTATCTTTATCTTAAATAAAGTAACTTTACCTTAAATTTGTTTCTCCAAACAGTCCTCCAGAGAAACACACATATCAGTGAAGTTTATGTGTGCTCACATGCACAGAAGTCTTCTCCATAAATATAAATGTTGTGCTGGCCT